ACACACACACACACACACACACACACACACACACACACACACACACACACACACACACACACACACACACACCCAGAGACAGGGAGTGGTCGACTGGAGCCTGGACTCACAGTTTTGGACTGATTTGACTTCATCTCCATATTCACTCTCCAGAGGAACAGGTAGGAATGAGTTGGTGTCTGTAGGAACAGCATGTGCTGCTGGGGGGGGGGGGGGGGGCTAAACGACTTGCTGATAAAGGAGAGGGTCCGTCGCTTCAACAGCGAATACGCTATGTGTGTGTGTAATGTGCGCGCAATGTGCGCGTTCACAGCAGAACACTGCGCAACGCCGGGGAGGGGGGTACACCAAAAACGTTGTCTGTGATTACTTTTACTGATAACTATGAACAACTTCAAAAACAATGGCAGTTTATTTTTAATTTTTCATACCTTATTTTCTTGAAGTTTACTTTATCTGAATGCCAGGACAGACAAACTAAGAAGTTCACGTGTTTCAGACAAGCATTTGTGTTTGCCGTGTATAACTAGTTGTTGTTTTTTGTAGAAGTGTGTTATTCATTCTTGACAAGTTGTTAATCACGTGTTTGGGTTAATGATGGTCGAAAGGATTCTCATTTTTGTTTCACTTTTTTCACATTTTGTTATTTGGATTCCTATAGTTGTATGTGTGTGTTGATGTCTGTATGTGGTTGTTGTGTGTGAGTGTGAATATGTGTACCCCATGAGGAATAGCCTACTGTAGCTCATGCTAATAGGGATTATATGAAGAGATCTGCAGCTCTATCTGTCCTGGTTAGTTTCCAGTATAACGTGCTGTTCCTTTGGGTTTGATTTTCAATAGCATTGATTGGGATGTTTCACCAGTAACATTGTGTAGCAACTCACTGTGAATTCAACATGCCTGTGGACAAAAATAAATATGGTCTCCGGGCTGCACCAAAATCCTAAAGAAACAAATATTTTCCTAACATATAGTACATTAAGTCAAGCTTTGTTAAAACATATTGTGAGTTTTACCAAAGTTAGATTAACATTTTCAATATTGGGCTAATAAAGAGCTTTTTATCTCATTTTGTTTTTGTTTCTTATACTAAATAGTTATAATTCAGTCAGCAGTCAACAAGGTCAAATTTAAGTCACAGTCGAAAACATTTTAATTGTTAAAGTTTGAAAAAAATGGTTTCTTTAAATTAAATGATTATAGTTAATGCAGCCAAAAAATAGGAAATGTGTGTTCTATTTCCAAAGCCAAATTCCTCCATGTGTCTGTTGAGGGGCTGCAGGCATGGCGGTAGCGGTGTGCCGGGACCTGACGGTGACGGTGTTGGAGGACGTGAACGCTGCCAAGCTGACGGAGCGACAGCAGGCTCTGCGCGCTGCCATCCAGAGGGGAGAGCCAAAGTGTCTGGGGGTGAGTGAGCACACACAGGAGGCTTTGGGTAGGTTCACTTGAAGATAGGACCACGATTTGAGGGAAAGGGGAAGTATTGTGAGAAAAACAGGGGAGTTCAGAAATATCGTTGTCTCATCTCTTCGCACTGCTGCAAACATAGGTCCAGAATGTGTTAACATTCTGTTTTACTTACAGCGGCTCTATGTTTACAGACTGGCATATCTTGGTGCTTAGCAGCCATCTGTAGATGTGTATGAAAGATGTGTACTGCACCATCTGAAGTAAAAGTAGTAACTCCACAGGTAAGCTGTAAATGGCCAGTTTAACTCTTTAAAGTGTCGTGCTGCAGGAACACTCACCTGTTGCAGTGTGGTCATGTGATAATCTGAATGATGTTTGAGGGATTGTAACAGGATAAGGACACGTCCACTACACTTCAGCAACCAATCGTTACTTGAGAAAAATAATAATGGATAACTTTAAAATGTTAATTCAAAAACTTAATTTGCCAAATCTGGAGAGAATTGGATGGTGAAAATGTGAATTGTGGTTAAAAAATCATTAAAATGTTGTTAATTCTAAATTAATAAAATAAAAAGAAAGAATAAATAAATGAAAGCAACTGCGAAAGCCAGTGGTAAAATGCTGCAACAACAAAAAACACTAGAAAGTAAATAATTAAATGATTTAAGCTCTCTTATTGTCAAAAAAAAAAAAAGTATATAAAGGTTCAGGGGCCAAAAATATCCCATGCTTCATAAACTGGAAATGAGTCCAACAACTCATCAGATGCATTTTTGCCTGTTGTCTATTATATTTGACTGAAATTAAAACATCTAAATCCAAATATCTTGCCATTCAACATAGAAAGAAAAGGAGATCATTTTAGGGAGACGGGCACAATGAGCACATGACACCTGCTGGGTGAGAGCTGTGTGCGCATGCTCCGACCCCAGGCAGGATTCACATCGTGAGTGCCGGTCATAACCTATGGTCATAACCCATTATGTACCCCGTCTGGCATGAGGAGCAAACTCTAACACAACACTGTGTACTCATGTTTAAGGCTCTTTTTCGAGGTGGCTCTTAAAAGAGTCTTTGCTCTTTAGTGTCTACAGTGCTTCAGTACCGGGGTGCTGAAGCAAAGTGGGAGCAGATTGTCGGGCCTCCTTCCTATTTATACCGGAAGTGAGTCCGAGGTGGGCCCCACCTATGTGGATTACAAGTGTTTCACTGCTGCACGGGAGTGCAGGGGATTACCCAATAGCGATACCCTTAGAGGGCTACGCCTATACGAAATAGAACGACCCCGGTAAGAAGTGAACCAGCGTCGTAGGACCGGAAACCCAGAGTTAACCCTGAAGTTACCTCGCTAAGCGAAAATCCGGCTTCGTAGTACAGGCCTCAGCACTGCTAAAAAATCCCTACATGCACAAACAAAAGATCACACAGATCACACAGCTGCACTCTGATCAAGAGATTCATACACAGCTGGAGGCCTCTCTTTAAAGATTGCTGTGTGTGTGTGTGTGTGTGTGTGTGTGTGTGTGTGTGTGTGTGTGTGTGTGTGTGTGTGTGTGTGTGTGTGTGTGTGTGTGTGTGTGTGTGTGTGTGTGTGTGTGTGTGTGTGTGTGTGTGTGTGTGTGTGTGTGTGTGTAGGTGAGTCAGGTGATGTTGGGGCTGATGGTCGTGTCCTACTCCATCCCCCTACTCTTCACTGAGGTGACGGAGGTGGTGCTGCTGGGTGTCCCCTGGTGGAGCGGCCTGACGGTCAGTCTCTGGGACGGAGAGCCATACTTGCTGTTTCATCTGTTTTCTTTTGCATTTCTACCAATATTGTTTACATTTAAAAAAAAAAAGAAGAAGCAGAACCTCTGAAAGGCTTCAGTCACCTGAGCGCAGCGGCATTCATACATTTATTGAATACCTTTAGTTACTTTACAGATAGTCATTCAAACTAGCTGCACCTTTACCAGCTTTGAGAACACTTTAATGATCAATAATTATAAAACATATCATATATATTATTCTGAAATGGACCAATCTACTTTTACTGTCGGTACTTTAACTATGTTTTGATGATAATACTTTTCTACGATTACTTGATTAACATTTTAAATGTAGGACTTTTACTGTAACAGAGTATTACTACACTGTTGTACTTTTACTTAACTACAAGATATGAGTACTTGTAGGACTTCTGTGGACGTTAACGTTGTGACATCATGTCGTGTTCCTGTCTCAGTTCATCACAGCAGGAGTGGTCACTATCGTCCTGGACAAACACTGCACCATGAAGATCGTGAGTCTTAAGGCAACACATACACATTCAAGATTCGTTATGATTACACACATTTGGCATACATGGAGGCAAAATGTTGTTCTCCAAACAAAAACAAGACAAAAAATATGCCATAAGAAGTCACCAAAATAAGTAGTCTAAAAGCTGCTACATGCAGCTAAACAGTGTGTATATACTGTGTACTGTCGACACACTGAATAAAAAAAATGAATAATGTTGCGTCTGTGTGTGTAGCTGCGTGTGTGTTTGGTGGTGACCATGGTGTCCACGTTGCTGTCCGTGGTGGCTTTAATCATCTACTCTGTGGACATGGGCAAGAATCCTGCAGTGCCCTGCGTCAGGAATCCGGATGGCTTCTGCAGTGAGCACCACGCCACAGTGGGTATCATTTATATTTTTGTCACTGTCATTATTACAAGACTTTTGTGAAATCAGATTTAAAGTTGGATAATATGTACAGGGTATTATACAACACCAGTATACAGCACACACCCCTAACATTGGTAAAGCCCAGTATTGCTCACTGATAATGACTAATATTGAGTATTGGCTGTTGATAAGTTCTTTTAAATGACATACACAGTCATAAAGCCCCCACTAACTTCCATTGGGTTTACAGAATAACTGATTGCCATCATACCAAAGTGACGTTTCACTAGCAGGAACCACGCCACAACAGTGTGATGTTTGTAGGTTTATTGCAAGAAGTAACAATTAATTGATATGGAGGGGTTGATGAGATGTACTGGTCTGGCGGGACGTGCTGTGGTCCGTGCAGAGGGAGACTCAGAGTGGGGGTACCGTCTCCGGCATGATCTGCTCGGGCTGATTGCGGGCCCCAGACGATACCTAGAATTAAAATATACATAGTTCAAATATAAACGGTGACAGGCAGAGGATGTTGGGATGAAGGGATAATAATAATTTCAATATCTTTTTATAGCGCCTTTCAAGAGACCCAAGGACGCTTTACAATGGGAAACAAAACAACAAAAGGATGAAAGGATGTGGGATGTAGGGATGAGGGAAGGGAGGGATGATGGATGTAGGGATGGGAGGGATGAATGGATGTAAGGGTGTATCGCTCGGTGTGAGGCGGAAGGGGAATTGTATGGGTAGAAGGGAGAGGGAAGGTGGGTTGAGAGAATGGAGACAGGCAGTGGCTGGAAGTTTGGCCGGATATAAATAGGGGTGGCCGTGATTAGAGACGGGGTTTAGGCCTGGCCCTGCTCCTGAACCTAGGTTAACAAGTTAACTTCATCAATAAGCATGAACACGCAAAGCAATCACTGTATCCTTAAGAAAATAAACACATCTCTAATTGGATTGCAGTCCAGATTAATTAACTGGGTGAGTCAGGATGCTTCCAGTGTTTGGCTCTCCGCTGTACTATTGCCTACTCCATTTTAAACTGATAGATGAATAAGGTCTCAGTTGTGGACCCACAATGGACTCTGAATGTCGTTGTACTTTTTGTATAATGACAATAAAAGGCTTTAAATGTAATGAACTGTAATGCTCTATGGTAAGTAGACTATAATGCAAGCTGGACATGCAGAGGTATCTTCACTGTCCACCTCTCTTCCTGCTGTTTGAGAGAAACTCAGCCACCAGAGAGAGCAGACATCCATACTCTGAACTTTAATAATGTAGCCCTGCCTGTTCCTAGTTCACCATTCAATAGTCACTCAGTGCTTTGGTCCATTCATTCTTAATACATCCACAAACATGAAATTAACATTAAGGTCTCACATTTTCCAACACTCAGTGCGTGATGACTGCCATGTAGAGGTGCTGTGTGGTTGGTGTGAAGCATAGAAGAAAAACAACACCTCCTTCAATAACGAGCTCCACCATTTTGGTTAAAAACGTCCTAATAATGGCAAATATAGAAAACATTGTTGAGGATATTAACTGAAAAATATAAATGATTGTCCAGGGGGTTGAAGTGAAGTGGAAAGTTAAAGTATTAGGAAGTGCCAGTGGTATGGTGTAGGTCAGTGATCATCAACTGGCGGCCCGCGGGTCACATCCGGCCCGCACGACAGGGGTGACTGTGGGGTTGGTGGAGTGGTTAATGCGTTCGCCTCCCACCCATTTTTTTTTTTACAACGTCTCGTGAGTAAGGTGCAGTACCGGAGTCCAACAGAGAGGCAGCAGCTGCGGGTCAGTAGACTGTGTACTGCGAAACCTTCCCTGCCTTGAACAATAATTGATCCTTCGTTGTGAAGAGTCTGGTTAATGCGGTCCGCACCACAGCAGTAGCCCCGCTGCGACAGAGTCCAACAGAGAGGCAGGAGCTGCGGGACAGTAGCCTAGAAGAAGGGTTGGGTTGTAACGGAATACGTGTAATGGCGTTACGTAATCAGAATACAACAATCAAGTAGGCTAACTGTATTCAGCTGGCGTTACATTTAAAAAACGAGTAATTTGATTACAGTTACTTTCGTAAACCTGAAGTGAATACATTTTGGAATTATTGGTGGAAAAGTTTCCTCACAAAATGTAATATTCATTACCGGCAGAACTGTGTGCACACTGCACGGTGCTGCAGCATGTCTGTGAGCGAGAGAGAGATGCAGCGTGTCTGTGAGGCCCCGCCCCCGCACGCAGATGAGAGAGAGATCTCTTTTAAAATATATTGAAAGTTAGAAACGGAGATGGTTCGATAAAATGTGCAAGATAACGTTTATGTAGCATTTCTTTATTGTCGAGATGATGACATTTATAACGGGATCAAATCAAAGTGAATGGCCTGCTGCTGCTGAATGCATGGGGCAAGTGACTGGAACAAGTTTTAAAAGTTATTACATCGTTTCAGATAATAAATAATAATGATAATTCATTCTATTTAGGGGCGCCTTTCAAAGCACCCAAGGACACCTTACAATTCATAACATATTCTAAGGAAAGGTTTTAAGACAGTACAAAGAATGCAGTCCGGGTGATGTTTTGTATGTGGGGTGCAGGTGAGAGAGAGCTGTCCAGAATGACACCAAGATGTTGTGTTTGAGTTCTTGATAAGCCATTAAAACAGTAAAATAAGTCTCTCCTGTTCACCAAAACATACCCATCTGTTATGGAAAAAGAAAGTAATCCAAAATTATTCTAAAAGTAATCTGAATACATTTTTAAGACACGTAACTGTAACTGTATTCTGATTACTTTCAGAGCATGTAATCAGTAACTGATTACATTTACAAAGTAACCCTCCCAACCCTGCCTAAAAGTGATCATTCGTTAGCGTGAAGAGTCTGCTAAGCTTGCGGTCCACAGTACCTGAGCGTGCTCCACTAGCACCCCCCCACTTCAAAATTCTGGGCTATATAAAAATCGCTGGCCCGCGATAGTGTCTATTGGATACATTTTGGCCCTTGGACAAATGTAGTTGGTGATCCCTGGTGTAGGTGTTCTGGCATTAGGACAGTCTGAGCTGGGGACTCAAGTCGATGAAGCGCTGTGTGTCTTTCCAACAGAGGCTGAGCAGAGGAGTGAAGGCGTCCCTCCTCGTCTTCACCCTGGCCCAGACGGCCATCTCTGCCGTCCTCTGCTTCCTGCTCTTCAGGCAGAGACACGGCTTCGGACCGTACGCTGTAAGGCTGCAACACTTTCACCTCACGAGCAAATACTTCATACAAGAGAATAATACCACAACAGTGTCATTGCTAAGGCACAGCCAGAGCTCTGTCAAAGGTCATCAAGAAGTACAATCGGACGAAAGACAAAATGTGACGATTAAATGTACAAAGGTCAATTAAAAGATGGTATATTGTAAAAGTGGTATACAGTCACACACAGCAAGTAGACTAGCTCAGTTTGAAAAGCTGTGTTGAAAGAATACAAATCAGCCGTATATAAATATTTTCACGAAATGAAATGACAGGCCCGCTTATTTAAAGGCAGCCAGTTTGCATCAGCCATTGCAAACAAATACAGTTTTCACTTATATTAGCGTTACTTAATAATACAAATCAGTGAGAGCACCTTGTCGTAAGCACCTCCCCCTCTTCTCATAAACATATATTTTTATAGTCACAACTTTCTGATATGAGGAGAAGTGATGGCATGGTGCTGATTCTGCTTCTGTCTTTTACAGTCCCTCAGCCCTGGTGAACCAGAGACCCCCACAGCACTCATCCCCCCCGAGCTGAACTGATCAGCCAATGGCCCCCCCTTCTGTTCCAGAGATGACTGATCACCTGTGTGTGCTTCCCCTTTGTCTATCTGCTCGTACGTATGACTTCTCCACAGAGCTGCCTGATATCTCAGCAGGAGACGTGTCAGTTGTCAGTGTTGTTATGCATGTCTGTCAAGAGCTGAATATTTCATTACACATCAGCCAAATGATTCAATACTTCAATATAGTGGGCTGCATTAAAAGAAAACATTAGGGAAGAAATAACAACTGTTTAACATTAACAACCTTAAAGAAGGGACATCTCATTCTGATTTGTTCCTGTGGTAAAAGTATTATATCACACTTTTGTGGCCAAAAACTGTGGACATGTATCCTGAGTGGCTGGAACAGGATGCACAGTCCAGCCATGTGTGCAGGAAGTGGGGACTGTCTGCTGTGACACAGAGATAAAAAAGTCATATACACCAGATAACTGATTCCTCCTCCTTTACACACACCTTGGCTGTCACCACATTCAATATAGAAATGCAGTCCGTTTAACATTTATCATCGGATGGAGTTTGTTTAGGACTTGTTGACAAGCAAGCTCAGTAGTTAAGTGTTTACTGAAGAGGACTTATAATACGATGTAAGGTACCTATAGTAGCTAGTAAGTGGATTTATAATTAGGCTAACTTCAAGAATAAATGTTCACACTGAAAAACTTGAATGTCCTGTATTAACCAGTTTATCTGAATGTGTGGACTAGCAGCGGTCACGATGAGGAAATCTTCACCTCTCTAACTCATGCTGCATGCAGACACTGAGCTCTGACTGGCTCTCTGAATCTGAAGCTGTTCACGATGTTCACAGTGTTCATGGTGTTGGTGTTCACAGTGTTCACAGTGTTCATGGTGTTGGTGTTCACGGTGTTCACAGTTTTCATGGTGTTGGTGTTCACGGTGTTCACAGTTTTCATGGTGTTGGTTTTCACAGTGTTCATGGTGTTGGTGTTCATGGTGTTGGTGTTCACGATGTTCACAGTGTTCATGGTGTTGGTGTTCACGATGTTCACAGTGTTCATGGTGTTGGTTTTCACAGTGTTCATGGTGTTGGTGTTCATGGTGTTGGTGTTCACAGTGTTGGTGTTCACAGTGTTCACGGTGTTCACAGTGTTCATGGTGTTGGTTTTCGCAGTGTTCATGGTGTTGGTGTTCACGGTGTACACAGTGTTCATGGTGTTGGTGTTCACGGTGTTCACAGTGTTGGTGTTCACGGTGTACACAGTGTTCATGGTGTTCTCAGTGTTCATGGTTTTCTCAGTGTTCACGGTGTTCTCTGTGTTCATGGTGTTGGTGTTCACAGTGTTGGTGTTCACAGTGTTCATGGTGTTCTCTGTGTTCACAGTGTTGGTGTTCACAGTGTTCATGGTGTTCTCTGTGTTCATGGTGTTCTCTGTGTTCATGGTGTTCTCAGTGTTCATGGTGTTCTCTGTGTTCATGGTGTTGGTGTTCACAGTGTTGGTGTTCACGGTGTTCTCTGTGTTCATGGTGTTCTCTGTGTTCATGGTGTTCTCTGTGTTCATGGTGTTGGTGTTCATGGTGTTCTCTGTGTTCATGGTGTTGGTGTTCTCTGTGTTCATGGTGTTGGTGTTCATGGTGTTCTCTGTGTTCATGGTGTTGGTGTTCTCTGTGTTCATGGTGTTGGTGTTCTCTGTGTTCATGGTGTTCTCTGTGTTCTCTGTGTTCATGGTGTTGGTGTTCTCTGTGTTCATGGTGTTCTCTGTGTTCATGGTGTTCTCGGTGTTCATGGTGTTCTCGGTGTTCATGGTGTTCTCGGTGTTCATGGTGTTGGTGTTCATGGTGTTGGTGTTCATGGTGTTGGTGTTCATGGTGTTGATGTTCTCGGTGTTCATGGTGTTGGTGTTCATGGTGTTGCAGTCTTCTGGAACAGATGGTGTGTATTTTCACTTGCACTGCTTTAGTTTTTTGTACACTATTTACAAAGTGTTGATCTTTGATATATTTGTGTTTATTTCATACACAATTATGTACATATACAGTATATAAATAAAGTTGTGACCCATTGAGTTACATTCTGCATTTTACATTGTGTGTGAGTTTGTGAAAAAGTATGGGGTTTTACAGAAAGAAGTGTGCTGTTAGAACATGCCTTTTAAAAGCACAGTTCACATGTGAACAGGAATATCTTTAGTTACAGCTGTCAATGCCCAGACTGCTCGCCTAAAGCTCCTTACACACCAAGCTGATTTTCGGCGTCGATAGATGTTGATAGATGTCGGGCCGCTGATGAGCGTTGTGTCGCCCTACTCAGATTGGTGTGTACTGCACCGTCGTGTATTTTCGGCCGACACCTTCTGCCGCCGATTCGACATGTTGAAAAAAGAAATCACTCTGATTGGCTGTTCAGCTTAGCAAATCAGTGCATGAGAAGTGAAATGGAAGTGAGGGACCCAAACAAACTATTAAGAAGGCAAATCTGAGATTTCATTTAACTCCAGCTCTCGACACAGGTTCGGGAAAGCCCCGTGAGCTTCTCGTTGTAGAGTGAAAATGGAACGCACACGCTATTTGTTGTTGTTTATATCACGCAGTCTGTTCTTCTCCTCTCGGTTATCACAAAGTCTTTCGTCCGGTTGTTGCATCTTTTGAATGACCAATACACACTAAAGCCGCCTGCTGGTAAGGAGAGTTATTGCCACTCACGCATGCGCAGTTCATACGTGCAACTTGGCCGTCGGCTGAAGTCTTTGCGGTGTGTTCCAGTGCGAAACATGGCCAATACGCAGAGACGTGAGGCGACGCGTCCCGACGTTCCTTGGTGTTCTTTGGTGTGTAAGAGGCTTAATAATCATGTTCCAGTTTGCAAGGCACTGAAGAAGCAGGCAGCAGCAGACCTGAGATTACTGCCCCCCCCCTGACCTGTCTTAACGGGACAGCCCCCTGTGAGAACTAGGAACTGGTCCGCAGACCTCAGATTCCAGAGAGATGTCCTATCTCTCCTTGAATAGCCCAATATTACAGAGATATCATTTGTACGCCTTTTAAGGACTTGTAAAATGTTGTCGCTGCAAAAAGAGTCACCATTTGGAATGCAATTCATGTATACCATGTCTTTCAAAATAATTTGACCTTGTTCATTCTTAATGGAAATGTGCTTTTGTACTTTCTCTGGTCACTTATTAATTTTTTTCTGTTTTGTTACTGACATAACTCATGTTTACTCTGGCACTGTTGTAATAAAAAATAAAAAAAATTATGAAATGAAACAGTGAGGTATGTTTTGTTTTTAGTAATAATTTGTATTGTATATGATTGTATGTTCACAGCAAATTGTATTGTATGCTAGACAGACAACAGGAGAAACGCATCTACCAGGTTGCACCAAAGTTTAACATCTCAGTACAGGATCAGACTAGAACCTAACCCTCAAAACCTAGCTACAGTTAGGACTTTATTTGGATTTCAGCATATGCGGAACACCAAGGAGGAGGGAACATGAAGGGGAGATTGCTCTATTTGGAACAGTTAATAACATTACATTAGCGGAAGTGGTCTGTAGCTGCCAACATTAGTCTGCTGCGAGGGGCTCTGCAGCATCGCAGGGTCTTCTATAAGCAGGGCTGCACATAACTGGTGCGCATGCGCAACTCCGCCAAAAAAAGAGCACCGGGTCATTTGAAACAAAGCGCATTTGCGTACCAACATTGAGAGAGGGAGAGAGAGAAGGGAGAAGAGAAAATAGAGGAGAGATGAGAGAGAGAGAGAAAGATATTTGCGAGTTGCATACATGTATGAACCATGATATGAACTCAGGGCCGGCCCGTAGCACTGGCTAGATGTTCACCTAGGGCGCCAGATCTGTGGAGGCGCTGCGCTGGCAGTTCTGGGAGGGAAAAAAACATTTTGACCGTTGGGGCTCATCCTAATTTTCGGCCTTGATGTAACAATATTCATAATTAAGTAAATGTAACACCCTTTTCACCCCGGTTACACGTTTCATTTGCCCTGTACGATGGGCGCTGTAAGTGATGAAAATGGGGGATGTTGGCTTATCTGGCGCCCGCAGCTCACAGCCAAAATGCGAGTGAGCGAGGGAGGGTGCACCGGTACCAGCGCTGTTGTTATTAGAATCTGGTGCCGTGCTAGCTGCTCTAACGGATATAAGAAGAAGATGTTTCTACAATAATGTGGAGGGAGAGTCCTCTCCAGTCAGACTGAGAGGCTGATACTACAGCTCAGTGAGGTAAAGGACTCTGAGTGTTTAGATAGTTCACTTTAGTCTAACCCCCAAAACACACCAGAAGCGTCTGCGCCGCGTTACGTTGCGGCTGCGCCACGCTGCGACCTCCTCCTGCGTCAACACACACCAGACGCGTTTCAAAACGTTGCGTAAGCGGAGCGTCGTGTGTGCAACCTCGCAGTTGTTGTTGATTTTGGAATATTTCCTGGACATCTGTACTTCTACAAGTAAGTAGGCTATACGTAGTTAAATGGTTTATGTTTGTGTCTGTTTAAATCGTGTTTATTGTTGTTATTTCCTATTTTGTTGTGTTGTAGACTACAGACACAGTTAATAATAATTGTAATATTCCAGTTATAAACGACATGAATCAAAGATGTGTTGCTGTATTTTAGTGGTAAAAAAATATGCATTCATCATCATAATTATTATATATATATATATATATATCATTTACAGTGCCTGTAAACCGGAGGAGAACGCTGGCATGTATTCTCCTACTTGAAAGACTACGGGGGGATGGGGGGAGGAGTTTACCTTACGGCTGCGCCGCGGCAAAAATAGGATTCATCCTAATTTTAGAGAAGCGCTGCGCCGAGCCGCTTCTGGGACGCGTCTGAGCCGTAACCCGGCGCGTGTGGTGTAATAGCACCCATTGACTAGAGTGGCCGCGATCCTTACGACCGCCGCGGCGCGGCCGTAACACGACGCAGACACTCCTGGTGTGTTTTGGGGGTAAGTTCAAACGGTTTGGTTGCAATTTATGTAAACACATATTTCCAAGGCACTCCTTTATAATTATTGGGATAAACAGGTTTTAAATCATTCCAATGTATACTATAGGACAGTAACCAAAAATATCCTTTAAAACTGGAGAGATACAAAAAAATGCATAAATAAATGTTAAGGTAAAATAAGATATGAATGAACAACACAAATAAAATAAGTTACATTCATTTGTTATTGGCTATGGTAGGTTATTGGTTATGTTCACATACTTATTTGA